ACTGCCTTGTACAGAAGGCACAAGCCCCAGGAAGAGAAGATCCTGAGAGAACACTTCCAGCTTCCCACAACTTCCCAGCTCCTCCTACAACCCCAGGATTTGCAGCCAGACTGGAATTGCAGTATTACTTCCACACTGCAAACTCTCTTCTCGTTCTCTAACAATTTCTGACATTTGCATTTGGATTTTTAAGACATATTGGGAATTGCTTAGGTGTATTGCTACAGAAATGTGTTTCCACTGCTTTAATCACTTATTTACAGCTCCAGCCACCCTGCTTCCACCCTTGGCTCCACTCACGTTCAGCTGGCTGCAGGAGGGTTTTCCGCACTGTGGTAACCCCAGTCCTAACTCTGATTCCAGAAGCTGCCCAGGACTGGTACTGCCCTTGGGGTTTACAGTATTAGCTCTCCTTTGGGAGAAGCAAGGAATGTCCCAGCTGGCTTCTGAGGACCGGCTGCCATCTCTACCCATGCTGCATGCTGGTGAGTCCTTATACTACCAAAGGGTACAAGAGTTCACGCAACAGCCAAGCTGGAGAAATGGAGGAAAGTGGTTCTGCAGATTCTCCATCTTAGGGTGTGTGTGTGTGTGTGTGTGTGTGTGTGTGTGTGTGTGTGTGTGTGTGCGTGTGTGTGTGTGTGTGTGTGTGTGAGAGAGAGACAGACAGACAGACAGACAGACCCCTCCTGACCGGGACTGACAGTTCTGTGGCATGCAGCAGGACCTTACTGAATGCAAGCTGCATTTGCAGTTCTGTCTTTAATGTTACTTTAGACCTGTTCCTCAGGCAAGAGAGCCTCCTTTTGCGTTTGCACTTTTCTCCTTTACACGTCATCACTTATCATTGCCTCTTGTCCATCCTGCAGTGCTTCTGTTGTTTGAAATATTCAAACTTACTCCACCTTCCCTCAACGCTGGGGCTCCGTGTTGCTGTACTCATGTACAGGTGAGCACTCTACACTCAGAACGGTCGACCCACGCAGCCAAGCCCACCCACCCTGCAAAGTCCACTCGCCCCAGCCCCCATCCTTCATTGGCACATACTTTCTGAGCTACAACTTGGTACCTGTTCCCTTTGTCCCGGAGTCTGACTCAGACCTCTCGCTTCCCCTAACAGCAGCGGCTTTGCTGTCCTCCCCTGGTGTTCATCCTTCTTCCTTTCAATCTCCTCTCCCACAGCACCCAGGGAGACTTCTGCACATTCGCTCTTGCCCTGGGTTTGACCCCTGCCCTCTCCTCCTTCCTTGTGGCTTCTTTTGGGGACTTTAAGCACTCCCTGGCTTTGTCTGTTTCCTCGTATCTCCTTTTCTCTTACATCTTTCTTTTCATCTTCTGCTGACCCTGTGTGGTCCATTTCATAACTGGATATAGCTCAGTGTGAAGGCTCTGGGTTCAATCACCAGTACCAGAAAAAGAAGGAAAAGGGAGAGAAGTAGGAGGAGAAGGAGAGGGGAGAGGGAGGGGAGACAGATGGGGAAAAGGAGGAGGAAGAAGAGGAGAAGGAGAAAGAGGGGGAGTGGAGAAGGAGGGGAAGGAGGAGGAGAAACAAAAGGAAGAGGGGTGTAAGAAGAGGAACAGGGGTGGGAGAGGAAGGAGACTGTGAAAATATTGCAAGGGCTGGCTTTTGTCCACAGTGTGAGGATTCTCCTGCTTCCTCACCAAGTTTCCCTTCCTGACAACCCACTGTCACAGGGAACCCAACCACTGGCTCCCCCACTTGTTGGGGATGTCCCTTCTGAGGACATGGGTGAGGCCGCAAGAGCTGAACTCACCTTGGTGCTCCACGGCTTCCCTGTGCTGTGCAGGCTTGTGGGAAGTGGAGGGCATCCTGAGCTTGCAGTAGAAACTGCTGGCTGCTCCCCACTTGCACTTCCTCTTCTTTCTCCTGTAACAGGTCCCCCACATTCTAGCTGGGCACATACCTCCCAGCTGGAGACAACATGTTCCAGCTTACCTTGCAACTGCTGAGGTCATGCAACTTCCTTCTGGCCAATGGGACATGCGTAAATCAGATGGTGCATATCTCAGTCCATGCCTTGGGAGACAGGGTGAGAACACGGCCCCTCACCTGCTGTACTGGATTAACAAATGGTCAGTTTATAACACCCAGCTGAACCGAATCAGCGTGGTGCTGGGTGTGGAAGTCCCACCTGAGGATTGTTGCCAACAGCATAAAAGGAGAACTGGAGGGGGAGATGGTGTGCTGTTGATTCTCTTGGAGAAGCTTGTTGTGCTGGCTTCCCTGGTATGAGCTCGGCTGTTCTTATCATTGGAGGAGCTCTGGTCCTCACTGTTGCTGAGGATGACTGTGGTTCTCTTTGGGGGGAATCTTGTTCTTACCTTGAGCATCCCTTCCTGGCTCCATTGCAGATCCCTCAGCCTGCTGACACCGATCCTTCATTCCGCGGGTACAGACTTTCTAGCTTCCATCACTGAGTGCAGACCCTTGATACAGACTTGCATAAGATATTGTCATGGGCTCTAGGCCTCCCACTGGACTTGTGGAGGACATTGCCATGGGATCCAGGCCCTCAGCTGGATTCTTTGGGTCTCTAGTGTGTGGACAGATCTCCCACATTCTTTTGCATTTGACTCTTTGGGTGAATATTACAAAATAATACAATAAATTATGTATCTTGTACTAAATTCATTCCCTTGTAAACTCTGACTACAACACCTGCCCACACCAGCAGGCCCTTTGTGCCTTCTAAAATCTGCACCCTAGAACCTGGAAGAGCAACAAAAGAGGAGCCTGTGTGCCAGAGCCACCACATAAGCCCAGTTTGCTGACTTTCAGACTATTAGAGGAAAATAAACTTTTACCTTGCTTGAACCGTGGAATTTGGGGACTTCTTTGTTACAGCATCTTGATCCACATGCTACCTGGTACAGTGATTGATAGATGGTCCTTTCCCCTCTGTGTGACTTGGGGGCAGACACTGAGCAGGCTAAGATGGGAGGGAGGTTGTAATGTCTAGATTTTCTGTTCTGTGACCTTTCAAACTTTTCCCTACTACAGATCGTTGCAGGACACAGGCGTGCAATGTCACCACCCGCTTTCTCAGCTCACAGGCCTAGACAAGGACTCCTCTTCCGGCTAGAAGAATCACACAGGATGAGAGGGGGTGGCACAGGGGTCTCACAGAGGCAGGGGCCAAGCCCGGCACCCCAACTCTCATCTTCACCTGGTACAGCAGGGCCATCTGCAGTGGAGAGAAAAGACACACGTTCCTGACTCCCACCCTGACAAGAGGCAGGCTGGCATCCCAGCTGGCATCCGAAGTTGAAATTCTGCCCTCACTTCTTGTTTACCACCACCCTGAGACCTGCGAATGTTCAGGCCTGCCTGCTCTGGGCAGTGAAGGGGCTGGAATCTGGAGAGGTTTGAAAAGCCCATCAGGGCACCAGAGCCAAGGGTCAACGGGCAGCGTCACTGCTGTGCCTTGCTCCGTGACCCTGCTCCACGCCTTGCTGTGCACCCCCAGTTCCTCTCAACCAAGACTTCCATGACGCACACTCATGGAAGGACGCACACACCTACCTTGGGGTAGGTGCACCTCGTGTGCCCAGACAGGGGACCACTTAGACCACCCCACGTACTGCCTGCCCAACATGGCCAGCCTGGTCTGACAGCCCAGCTGGGAGGACTGGTGGTCAGATGGGCTGCTGGGGGCATAACCCTGAAGAAAGAGGAGCAGTGTGTCTGGGTCCCGAGCCGTGGAGGTACATGTGCCACAGCTCCAAGCCTTCTCTACCACCACCATTCTGAGCAAAGGACAGTACCCCTGCCCGAATTCCCTCTTATCTGCAGCTGTGCTGTTTGTTTACAGATGAAAAAGGTTACGTTAGTGGAGCTGGAAATCAATGCCTCGCTTCCCCAGGGCATGTTTATCTTCAAAGGCAAAGGGCATTCCGGGGCAAAGGGCAGAGGTTACAAGGTTAGTCCTTTCCCCAAGACAGGCCAGTCAGAATGGGATGTGTACCCTCTAAGAGCCGTGCTGGGCACTGGGCACACACAAAAGCTCAGGGTCTGCCAGCTCCCAGTGATGAAACGGACAAGCAGCAGCCAGGTCCCAAGGCAGTGAGAACAATGTCCTCCACCTCCTGAGATGCACGTCTTCACGCACACCCCACTCGAGCATCTCCCTGCTAGAAATCTATCTGCCAATTGCCCCCAGATCTCCCAGAGGCTTGAGAAACACCTGCCCCGACTTGCTTATGGGTCTTCTAAAGAGCTGGGTCCACAGGAAAGGGTCCCTCCCAGACGATTCTCATCTTTCACTGCAAGTGGATGACCCAGGGCAGCCCTCTCTCCCAGCTGAGCTGCTATGGCAGGCGGGACCTGGTCACTTCCACAGGACCACTCCCTGCAGAGCCCGGTTTCTCCTTGTTCTCTGGCCCCACAGTCCCCAGGCTCTCGGGCTGTACAGGATGCGTGCATGTATCCACACCTCAATAGTGGGAGATCTCAAACACAACAGGGAACTGGGAAGGATGGAGCAGGTGGCCTAACTCTATATGTTGGCTCTGCATCTCACCAATGCTTGGACAAGACTGATAATACAGTCAAAATGCTCTGTGCAACAGGAAATGGTCCAGGGGAAGTGAGTAAACACCGCCCCCAGGACACGGCACACAAGCATACGGGGGCACACACAACACCTCCGATGGGCTGAACAGGGTATGAACTACCGAGGGACTCAAATAGCAAGCTAGGGGAGCAGGTGATCAGTGCAGGATCATCTGAGCTGATGCAGCTTCCTGCGGGTGATTCTGGAATATGGGTTGGATTTGGGCTTAAGGAGAAAAGAGGTCACAGAGCTCCAAGGAGTAAAACTATAGTGAGTGGAACCCAATGGCTGGATCCCAAAGGGACTTTTGTATCCCTCTGAGCACAAAACAAGATCCCTTGAGCTCTGCCAGTGTAGACACAAAGACTCAACCCCAGTATCACCGCGGCAGAGTGGAGGAAAACGACACATGAATGCCAAGGAAAGCAGCTGACTTTTTTCTTTTTATTGGCAAAGTAAATATATTTTTATGAAGGACCAAAGAAAATATACATAATTGTAACATATGTACACCAGCTTTATAGATTTTTTAATTTCAAATTTACACAAATATCGATGTTATTAAAAGATCTTATGTAGATGCACCTATGTACAGTTTATTTACATACATTCATAGGATGTGAAATAAACCTGTCAAAACAAGCTAGTTTGATATTAATTTCTAGACAAAACGAGGAATGCATTTCTAAATCAGGGCTGGGAGGCTCTACCTAGTTCTTTCACACCTAGAGCAGTCTGCTCCCCTCTCCTCTGGAAGGCGACCCTGCAGGCCGGAGTCAGCATTTGTCTGGCAAACAGGAGATCGGGATGAGCCAAGCCGGGGACAGATGCTTAGGGTTCTGTCTGTCTTGCACATTGAACTCAAGCAATGCACCGTCAGCCCTGCCTCCGCGCCAGTGGCCAGGGGCCACAAGAGCCTGACATACCCTCCACTCACCCTGCAAGGTGCATCTGAAAGACCAGCTGCCTTCACACCACCGCGCAGTCCCGGACTTTCGGCCCACTTCCTTCTTCCCAGCTTGGCTCCCCCGGGAACTGAAATTTCAAAACCGCACATTTCTTCTTCCCCAGACATGCAGCGTTGGCTTTGGCCCAGACAAGGCGCCCAGTGGGAGAAGGGCCAGGCCCCCAGGACCCTGCTTCCAGCTGGCGGCTGTGGCACAGGCCAGGCTGCTGTGGGAAGGCACAAAGGCACAAAGGCACCAAGGCCTGCCTCCAGCCCCAGGTGCTGGTGACCCGGCCCCCAGGGACACAGGTGCATGGCTCCGAGTTCTCCCAGCAAAGGCAGCGGGTGATGGCTCTGGGGTCTCAACTCCTAGGTTTCAGAAGGTGGGCTGGTAACATTGTCACATCCCTCTGAAGGAGGCGAATAAATTACTGTTTTAAAAAAATGGGTGTGGGGGTGGAAGGTGCGGTCGGGACCGGCAGGCGCGCTCAGTTCACAGCGCGCACAGACCGGCTGCTCCGCGGGAAGCGGTGCACCTTGATGTGCTTGGAGAGGTGGTCGCTCCGCGCGAACTTCTTCTCGCACACGGGACACTGGTATGGCTTCACGCCGGAGTGCGAGCGCCGGTGCCGCGACAGCTCGTCAGAGCGCGAGAACCTGTGGGACACGGCGGGTCAGCAAGGCGCAGCCCGCGGGGACCCGAGGCACCCCCCTGGCGCGCACCTCAGCCTCCACGGGACTGGGGTAGGTGAGGCCACGCGGGTCTGAAAACACCAAATTACTTCTGCCTTCACTGGCAGCCATCATTGTTCCAGCCACAGGAGAGCCCCCGCGCCCTCCAGGCTGGCAAGAACCGGGGACTGGAGGCTCCGGCTGCCACAGAGGGGTCTGTTCTGAGCACGCTGCACGCCAGGACCTAAGGCTGTCGCGCCTAGGACTGATTCTCCCGCGGAGTGGGGTCTGGGAGGCCCGGGGGTGCTCAGATCGCTCAGGCCCTGACCTGGACTGCCTCTCACTACCCTGCGGCCTCACCTTCCCCACTGGACCAGAACTCCAGAAGGGCATCCCCAAAGGACTGTCCGAAGGAGGTTCAGAGGGGACGCCGAGGCCCAGGAGAAGGAAGCAGCCCCTGCCCGCCAGTCTTCAGGGAGTTCCTGGCTCCTCTGTGCAGGGAACAGGGCTTCGGACCAGAGCTCACACCACTCCAGGGCCCTGCTGTCCTGGGAATGGGGCCCTTGAAGATGCCCCCCAGACCAAACTGCACCCTGAGAGACACTTTAAGAGCTTTAGATGGTTTCCCTGATGTCTCCCGCTCCACCTCTGCTAGGCTGGGGGCAAGCACTCCTGCAACAAGGAGAAACCCAGATGAGGTGTCCAAACAGCCTGTCACTGGCTGCAGGGACTCGAGACTTCGCCCACCTGATGGCACGTCACTGGCCCACCCCCTGCCTCTTCTGTGCACCACATACAGGGGGCTTCCTGGGGCCTACTTGCTACAGGACATCTGCCCAGGATGTGCTATGTGCAGCGCTCCTCCCTCCCCACCCTCGTTGTCTCCTGCACGTGTCCTAGAGCGCACCTCAAATGCCGCTTTCTCAGGAAAGCCCTCCAGGGCTGTACCTCCTTCTAGCTGCACCGCGCACCTCTTTCCTCACTCTTGCCACTACTGCAGCTTTACATTAGTTCCAGCATTTTGATGACTATCAGTGTGTCTCACTAGGCTGCCGTCTCCACCAAGGAGGACATGTCTGCCCGTGTCTCCCCTGTGGACAGCCCACTGCCTGCTGTACGGTAGATCCTCAGTAAGTGCGTTCACATGAATGTGTGAACCTAGCAAGTGCCTCAGGAGGACAAGGAGCTGCTGCAGAGACAGCCCTGGTGCACAGGCAGGTGTACATACACACACATAATGCACTCTTACACACATGCACACGTGTATCCACACACGCATGAACACACACACATAAGAGCACCAGGCCTAATACTTCCTTTCGAGACCTGGGGCTACTCGGCCAGAGGTAGGTCAGGTGATGACCAGAAAAGCAGATCCCCAACCACCCAACTGGTCTGAGCAGGTGGCCCACCTCTGTTCTGACTTGGTAACCTTGGTTCTGCGGCTGGAAGGGGAGCAGGACTCAGCAACACATGCGTGGGCAAGGGCTCAAGTGTTCACAGGAGGGTTCTGTGGGATAGTCAGTGCCTCGGCCTCTTCTGCTGCCCTGGGGCCCACAGGCCTGCTTCCACACGGGGAACAGCTGCTGCACTTGGAAGCATCACTGGTGCCTGGCACAGGGAAGGCCTCTCAGCATAGCTTCATACTCAAGAAGCTCAGCTGTCCTGTATGGCAGGTAGGGAACAGACTAATGGTGCTGAGAGGCTGCAGCAGGGTCAGTGGCAAGACAGAGCAACTGAGGCCATAGCAAAAGTCTCCGCACAGCCCCCTGCTGTATCCTTCCTTACCCCGCCTACTGTGGTACTAGAAGACAGCCTGGATTCCCAACTGATGCCACCAGCTTCCACCAGAGCCTCCCCTGGCTGGGCAGTGTGTTCCTAGTTGGCCCCCTGGACAGGGCCAACTGCCCCCAGCTGGAGTTGGGCACAGAGCTCCTGAATAAGTGAGTTGGCAGGGGCAAGTCTTCCCAGGCACGGGCCAGGGCGCTGGGATGAATCCTATCGGGCTGGCGAGACCACGGACAGAGGCTCAGAGAGGCAAGATTCTTTCTCAGTGTCTTGCCTTTGTTCTCCTCCAACTGTGTGCCCTGTGTGGCCCTGAGCAGACGACTGACTCACCAGGCGCCTGTTTCCTCACTTGTCCAATGAAGACTTCGTGTTTTCTGTCTGCCTTCCAGGACTCATCTGGGAGGTGACATAGGCCACAGTAGACTTCTGCTTATGGAGACACCCTGGGAAGGACGGGAAGCTGAGGGCCACCCAGACTACAGCAAGCTAGAACAAGCTGTCCTCACGACTGAGCCCCTTCCCTGCTGCTGCAGCACCTTGGTACCGGAGGGAATGTTCCTGAGACTAGAGCTCCCTCAGAAGATCCCCACCTCACACCACACATCCTCCAAACAGCAGCCCACAGAGAGGCCTGAGACTATAGTGGGAAGGAACAGGGACGGGGTAGGTAAGACGAAGCCCCTGGACTGACCAGGCAAACTGGTAAGGCACTAGCTTGCTAAGCCTCAGTTTCCCCTCCTACACAGAGGAAGAATGACTAATCTATCCCAGGAGATGGTAAAAGGCCACGAAGTAATGTTTAGAGAAGTGCTTGGCATGCAGCAGTCATGAGCTCTTAGTTCACATGTATATAGTTCTTATCACATGTATATAGTTCAGTGCAAGGCCAGTCCCCGGTGAGGTCCTGCAGTACGTGTGTGGGGCTTAGGGCAAGGCCCATCACTTGTCCTACTGGGTTGAAGGGCAGGGGAAGCATGGGCTCCAGGTGGTTCCCTGGAAGCAGCCTGCAACATCAGCACTAGCATACACAGCACCTTGCTGTGAAGGTGCCCCTTCCTCGATACACTCATCTACCATCTGCCAGAGAGTCATAAACAATCAAGTCTCAGTGGCTACAAGGGAAATGGAGCTCTCCTGAGTTGGACAACGCACAACCCGCCAACCATCCTTGAAGCCTCTGTCTACCACAAGGATGGGGGTCAGAGAATACTTCATTGCATAAGTACAGCAGTGACCCAGGGGACAAGAGAGCAGGCTGGGAGCCAGACCTCTGGCTTTGGAGCCGTCTCTCTGCCTGCTGGCTCTGTGGCCTCGGGCCTGCAATTGCCCTTTTCTGGTCCTCCCGTGTCCACTGTAGATGACAGCAGTACCTGCCACCCAGGGCTGTGACCGTTATTAATATCCACACTAGCTATGGAGGAAGGAGATTCTTTCTGGAGAAACGGCGTGGCTACTCTGGAACAGAATGTTCTCCCGTGAGGAACAAAGGAGGCTGTGTCAGAGAATGAAGCAGGGCAACTTCTAGGAAGCCCGGCAAGGAGCCACTCCCCAGATGGCTGGAGAACAGCAGTCTGGCTTCAGACTCATCACTGGTACAAAATCATGTCGCCAGAGTAGAAAAGACAGCAATGCTGGATGCAGGACGAAAGCAGAAGGAGGCAGGGTCGGGCACCCAGGCACACACTGACCTGGACAGTGGAAGGAGGAGTCCTGGGTCTAGACAGAGGGGCTGACACGTTCTGTGGGCCCAGGGCTCAGTGCCAAACCCATCAGCGAGGAGGAGGAGGAGGAAGAGAAGAGGCCTCAAGAGTAGGGAGCAGCCCATGCAGAGAGGCAGGCAGGATGTGAGGGCGGAGGCCAGTCAGCTGCAGGGAGGTCCGCCCACCACACCAAGGTGTGCCGAGGGGCTGGAGGGAGGTCCCCGAGGCTGGGATGGACAGGGAGCAGACAGCCCCCATTAAACTCCTGGCTCCACCACGTAGTAGTGTGACTGGGGAGAACTTACTCCCCTGCTCTGCGTCTCAATTTCCTCTTCTGTGAAGTGGATGCAACATCCTGAGGCCCACTTCACAGACCCCACTTCACTGAGGATTACGTGAACTAATATACACGTAACCTGCACAGCAGGGCCTAACAATGCATTCATGAGGGGCTCCTGCCACCGTCATGCTTGCTGTGGTCAGCTTTACTCCCAAAGCCCACAAGCACAAAGGCTGAAAGGGCCGACAGACCGGCTGGGGAGAAGAGATGGGCTTAGCCACTTTGGTATCGGGTGGTACAGCTAGAAGAGCAGCGTGGGGCTGAGGCACCCAGCAGGTGTGCACCCCAAGTCCACACTCACTGGCTATATCCCTGGGAACATGAGACATGATTCTCCCATGCCTCAGTCTCCCCCTCTGTACCTACATTGCAGAAGGCTCTTATGAGGACTCATTGTGGGTATACAGAACAAAGCCTAGACCACGGTAAGACCATTACAGCTACCATGGGGATGCTACTGGAGACCAAGGGCCTGGAGTCGGCCTATATCTGAGCCGCAGAGGAGTGGCTGGATCCACCTCAGGAGGAGGAAGAGGAAAGGGAGCATGCGAGGCAACCTGTGGCCCGGAGTAGGAGCAGATGGGAAGTGAAGTGCACTAAATTGCATGCTGTACACTTAGAGGCCAGAATCGTCTCAGGAGGTAATGAGGTCCCCAGGGAAGTAAAGGTCTGAGTGGAGGAGAATAGTGTCGAGTATACAGTAAGTGGCCCATAAGTACGACAACTCATAATCCTCACCTTCCCAAGCCTGTCCAAGCTGAGCCGCCTTCATGCTGGGCCCATCCTCCCACTTGGCAGCTGAAAGGAGTGGCATGGCTCACTCTACCCTTGGACCTCACTGGAAGACATTACAAACCTCGTAAGTACAGCTCCGTGGACCAGGAGCCCTGAAATCAACCAGGGACTCCCCTCATCCTCAGAGAAAGAGATTCCTCAGCTGCCAAATGGACAAAGCCTCTGCCATGTGTGACATCATGGACAGACCTGTTAGAAGCCCTCTAGCAGCCCAGAGAGGCAGACAGCAGAGACAGCTCTTGGGGCTGCACTGCACTAAACTCACCATGCCTGCACCCACCACACCCTCCTCAGTTGAGTGGGTCCTGGGTGAGAAGAGAAGACACTGCCAGGGCTCGGACAGTACATAAGCGAATCCCTCCCACAAGTGTCCATTCCCACTGCAAACCTCCTGCCCTGGGTAACGCATGACTTCCAGAAGCAACCATGTGAAGGCCATAGTCAGCCTTGAGATACACTCTGGGCTGCGGGCCCTGTCTACTCTCTGACTGACCAGCAGGAAGAAAGCACGCTCGCTCCTGCTGGGGGAGTGGGGAGTGCGTGGCTGTGACTGTGCCCTCCCTGCCTGCAGCCCCATGTGACCTCATCCCAACTGGAGAAGCCATTCATCAACGGTCAGCACTGGCCAGGGGATGGCACTGGAAAAGATGAGTCAGGGCCAGTGTTCTGGAGGGGGCTGCCCATCCCACTCCTAAGGAAGAAGGTACGCAGAGGAAGGAGAGAGGAAGGAAGAAGGTATGCAGAGTCCCCGCAAACGTGGGGAACCTCCTAAACTGCACACGCCTCAGATTCTGACCATGTACGGCAGTGACAACATGTCCCTAAAGACGAGGGCTCTGCTGACCGCTGCTGTACACCCGCCTTGGCTGCGAAGTGCTAGCCCTCCACTCTACGACAGGGAGACACGCCCTGGAGGGACCACTCCAAAGGCACACAGCAAGTGGTAGCTGACTCAGAGATGGGGCTCAAAGCCCCGGTCCCCACTGCCTCCTCCAAACAAGGGGTCATCATGTCCTTCCCTCCTTAAGAGGGAAGCCCTGGCGTCCCACTTGGGCTCCTCTGTAGTCCATGACCTCCCAACACAGCGCCCCTCCACTGCACATCCTCCCTCACAAGGACACTGTTAGCCCCGTGCCCACTCCGCAGGCCACGGTACAAGAGGGGACACCGAGACCAAACCCTGGTGGGTTTCTGGGGGCTGTATGAGTAGCGGGTGGGGCAGGACCTAGAGTAACACCTCTCTCAGGACAGGGGAAGGGCCTCTGTAACCCAGGACGCCCTGAGAAAAGTTCCAATGTAGCCAGCTTGGTGCACAAGGGAAAGGGGCAACCAGGTCACACTCTATTTACAGCTCCCAGCCTGTGGCACCACCCCAGCAGGGCAGGACCCCTGCCCAGGGCCAACGCTCACAAGCTCCTGGAGCCAAAGTCTGGTCAAGGAAACAAAAGCCACAAACTGTGCCCAAGCGCCACACTCACAATTCACGTGTGCATATCCCCACACGCCACCACAGGCAAAAGATGCAAACTCGTTCGGTCATGGGTGTAAGAAGAAAGCAAGATGCACACACAAGTATGCGTGCGCACACACACACACATAGCTATACTTCCATCTTCAAGGTTCAGTTCTATACAGAATGACACGTACATAGATGCACCTACCACCTGCCACCCCCCGACACACACAGCAGGAGCGGCAGCAACTGAGGCAAAGACAACGTGTTGATAGCACACACTGCCCTTCCAGCCAGGTCAGGAGTCCCCTTCTCTGCATGTGATCACTCTGATTCATCCCCTGGGGCTCAAATCCCATTTACAGAGCATGGTGACCTTGGACAGGTACATGGTCAATCCAAGCTTTCACGTTCTCAGACAGAAGCTGGGAATGATGGCGATACTTACCCCATGGGCACTGCAAGGCATCGGGGGAGGCCTCTGCCTGGCACACAGCCTGTGCTGTCACCCTCAGCTCCTGGTTAGCATGAACACCGTTCTGCCGTTCCCAGCCCCACTGGACTAGGAGACCCAGGAGGCAGCACAGGCCCTAACAAGCCTTACCTGGTCATTATGAAACTGGAGACACCAGGTGGCTTCCGGCTTTAGTAATCCAGAGGGACAAGGAAGTCTCTGGGCAGCTGTGCCGGCTCTGGCCCTGCCCCTGCCCACTCCTCTCTCCCCTTCCTAATCAGCCTTATCTAATGGTGGAGAAAATGGCCTTGGCTATACACCCAAGTGAGCAGACAGGAGCAGGGACTTGCTCACTGCCTGGGCCTGTCCCCCATCATACTGACCTCCAGCCGCAGCCCGGCCAAGTGCAGGCGAAGGGCTTCTCACCCGTGTGCCGGCGCAGATGGGCCTTGAGGTGGCTGCTTTTGGTGTACATCTTGCTGCAGCCAGGAAAAGTACATTTGTGCATTTTGATGAGTTCTGCTGCTGGGTTCTTAGGGAACTTCTGGCCCACAAGGAGGCCACCAGGGCCAGACCCCAGGGGTCCTGACCCAATGGGCTTGGCAGCGATGGGCACGGGGGCGATGCGCACGAACTTCGAGGGCAGGTTCAAGTTGGAGGAGGGCACCACCTGGGGCACGAGCGCAAAGGTCTGCCCCTGGATATTGACCAGGAGCTGGGCAACCTTGACGTTCTCCGGGGCCTGCCCAGGGGAGGCGGGCCCTGTGCCCGATTCCTGCTTCACGGGCACAGGCTGGATCTGCAGCAGCACGGGGATGGGCCCTTCGGCCGCAGGCCCCTCTCCTGGGCCCTGGGTGCCGCCCGCACTGGTGCCACCTGGTGGAGGGGTACAGCACTCTCTCCCTTCAGGACCAGGATGGAGGTGGTTCCGGTGTGTCGCGGAGGAGAGCGGGCCGCAGGCCTCCAGGTCCTTCCCGTTGCTCTCTGGAGCCTCCTTGACCTCCAGCTCCATGTTCTCCTCCAGGAACTCTTCAATCTCCTCCAGGGTCGGCTGAAAGGGCCTGGGGACGTCGTCAGTGTCACCCACAGGAAATTCGGGAAAGCAGCAATGCTCCCCCTTCACAGGCACTGGGGCCCTCCACCAGGTCCCCCAGGTCATGGGGCCACTGCCGGCCCCAGTGCCCCCACTGCCGCCACCACCACTGCCCAGCGTGGCCTGGGACAGCAGGAAATCCAAGATGCTATCCTGGCCTTTGGCGCGTAGGCCTCCGCTGTAGCAGGAGCAGAGGGCTTGGGAGTCTGGGCTGGAACAGGAGCAGGGGCTGGAGGCGTCGCTGTCGTCCTCAGAGAGGGGTGACGGCAGCATGTGGTACACCTGCCGGCCGGCCAGCCTGTCCCCCAGAAAACCAACAGAGCACTTCGGTGACGAGAAGGTCTCGTCCACTGGAAGCAAGTGGTCCACCATGCTGGCCTGGCCGCGCCGGTGGTGGCTGTGGAGAGGGAAGAAGGGAGGCCCGGTCAGACGACACTTCACTTGCCGGCACCTCCTGGGTCTGCACCCCTGCCCTCGCCGCCTGCCCACAGCTTCCCATTGCCAAACGCCTCGATCCTGCCTCCATCCCGCGGGAGAACGGGGCCTGCAAGTGTTTTCTGAAATTGCACCACTTTGTTTGCAAAAGAGCCCTCTCCAGGCTCATTGCACAACCTGGGCACTTCTGGCTTCAAACATTTTCCAGAATGATCCTGGAAACGAACACATGGGTATACCTGAGTGACTCGGGTGAATGCAGGAGAAAAGGATGTGAGGAGGCTCCGAGGACCCGGGAATGGCCAACGTCAGGGAGCCACCGTGTGTCCGAGGACAGGAGTCTCAGCTTCACGCCTGTCGCGTCACAGAATGGGATGGGAGAATGGCTCTTTGCCCTCTGGCCCTGTGTACTTAGGGCTTCCAAAGGGTTGCCAGATTGAGCAAATAAAAGTACAGGCTGCCCAATAAATGTGAATTTCAGATTCTATTACTCTTTAAATTACTTTTGCTCCCAATATCATTGGATGGGACATTCTTATATTTTAACATTATTTTTTCTCAGATTCAAATTTAACTGTGCTGCCTATATTGTAATCTGACACCTGTAGCTTGGAGGCAAAGAAATTAGAGTGATGAACACCTGCCCTGCTGCTCTGTTTCCCCCAATGGAGGGAAGCCTGTCCGCAGTTTAGTTCTCAGATCTCCCTGAGCCTCACTTTCCTCTGCCGGGAAGACAGGACGTAGAGTAGGGCTGGATCAAAACGCTCCCACTGTGTCTGACAGTAATTCACAGGCATGAAAGTCATCACAGGGCACCCTGCATGTATGACCCCCCTGTTCCTCACACCATCTCGTAGGACAGGAGATGGGATTCCCTTGACCAATGAGGAGAGTGGGTCTCCTGCCCTGCACCCACGGCCACTGTACCCCGCATGTGGGACACTCACCGCCTCAGGAAGGCCCAGCTAAGGCCCGTCTCCCCTCTAGCCAGTGCACTCTGCTGGGGACTCACTGTCTGTGCTGTGTCCCCAGTGCCTGGTATGACACCTGGTACCCAGGAGGGGCTCAGAGGATGTTGATAGAGAGGAGAGGAGAACACTGCGTCCTTTGAAGCCAAAGGCCGCGGTAGGTCTGGTGTCCAAAGAGCGTCAATAGTGTTAGCTATGCTGAGGCCACCTCTAGACCTTTGTCCCCACCCGGTGACCATGGCAGGCTGGGTGTTTATTGAGGTTGCAGCATGAGGAGCCAGAGATCCTCTGGAGCCTGGCATTACCTCCACACCCAGCTCCTTCTGCATCTCGGACTGCACTCGGCTCACCACCTGTGATCAACAGGCCACCGTCATCACCAGCTACAACCCTGGGCAGGGCGTTGCTTCCCCCAAGCCTCAGTTTCCCCAGCCGTTCTATACATCAGTGGCCTCTAACTCTCCCTCCTGCTAGCAATGCCAGGGCCTGTGATCTCCATCCCCAACTCAGACAGGAAGCTTCACGGAACACCAGGAAGGATACCTGGCTTTTTGGTTTAAAATACTCAGCGAAGGATTTAAAACTAGGTCTGTTTTAAAATATACACGTCACCATAGCATTGCCAGGATGGAGAGAATGTATGAGACAGGGTGAAGGGTAACAAGACTGGGCAGGAGCACATTCCACTCCAGGCCCGTGAGCTGGGCTCTGCTTGCGGTCTGCAACTGTCAGCTGGGGATCCTCAGGCAGGTGGCACAACCTCTCTGCGTCCATCTTGGTGTGTGAACATCCAATGAGCTCACACTTGCTGCGCACTTATTACCTGCTCTGCACACACCAAGGGCTCAGTCAGTTCAGGCTATAAGAACCAGCCTTCGCACACGGTAAACGGTAGTCTCTCTGACACCCACTACCATGTTAAGGATGTAGGGGGCCTCCAACGCCCCTGGGGCCTGAAACAGGCCTGCTTAAAACCTCCCCTGAAATGTGAGCACCAACTGAGTATTACACGACAGCAACCAATTACCATTAATAAAGTGTGATGACAGTATTGTGGCTACATATTTTTAAAATCCTTGCCTTTTAAAGACAGAAACTGAGATACTCATAGATAAAATAATATGAAAAGAACTAGTAAGGGAAATAGGTACAATTACATGATAAGGGAAAGAAATCTCTCCAATGGGGTTCCAAAGAAATAAGACCCAATCTCCATGCTAGACATGGTGATGCACACCTGTGATCTCAGCTCTCCTGAGGCTGAGGCAGGAGGATTGCCATAAATTTGAGGCTAGCCTGGGCCCCATAGTGAGTTCAAGGCCAGCCTGAACTACATAGTGAGACTCTATCTCAAAAACAAAACAAAACAACAGCAGCGACAAACACCCATCTCCTCAAGGCGGCACGGAGCACCTGGGCCCTCTTCATCCATCCATCTCTGACTGCCCCTCGGCTCACCCACCATGTGGCGCTGTGCTAGCTCTTCCCTCTGTGGGTCCTTCTCCCTCAAGCACTCCGGGTGGGGCCTCCTGATTTAGACCTCAGCTGAGAACTCACTCTGTTACATCACCCTATATTATATTCTTCTCAGCAAGCACTACTGTGGGAAGCTATCTTGGTTATGTGTTTGTGAACTTTGCTTCCCGTCTACCTCCTCACCAGAATATAAGCTGTTCTGACTGTTCGGTCCAAGGCTTTAATACCAGAGTCAAAAATGGCCTGGCAGAATTTGCTGAATGAGTGTAAGTGAGTGAAAGGTGATTCTGGGAGCCAGGAGTGGGGCAGTCCGAGTCAGGCAACAGGATCTTGGTGCAGAGCTGCGTGTCCCAGAGGCAGGACACTGAAGTACGGAGAGTGAAGCCGGACCCTACGACTTCCCAGGGCTAGGTCTCAAAGAGAGGAAGAGCCAGAGCTGAAGACGTCCCAGGTCCTAAAAAACAGCAGCACGTGGCGCAAGCTGTGTGCAGGGGGAGGGGACACGCTGTTCTGGGCACCAACCCGGCGGCCGCTCGACTCCGCCCCCTCCCTCAGCCAGCCAAGCCTGCTGTTTATCCTCGCGGGGACACAGCGGCTGCAGGAACAACATGTAATTGATAACAAGCCCAGCGCCGGCCAAGGGCTTGCCATTGGGTCAGCGTGCAAATCACGGGGGTGGCGGGTGGAGGCTGCCCTTCAAAATAAGAGTCCCACTCCCTGCGCCACCCGCAGGCCCCAAAGTCGCCAAGTCTTTCCCTTCTCGCACCTGTAGGGCAGCGGGGGAGCTCCTCACCGGCCACCCTGCCCTTGGGAGGGAAGAGATTCGAAGGGCTCACCTTCGTGGGACCGTGGGAGAAACCAGCCCCTCCGCGCTACTGAAGAGGGGCTTTCCATGGGTAACAGCACTACGGGAGGGAAGAGGGAACCGGAGGGCGTCGTGGGGTGGGGGTGGGATCCCCTCTGCCACCGCGCCTGTCCCCGCTGAGCCATCTCTCTGAGAATCGGGTCTAAGGAGCTGGGAGACCCTGCGCGGGGTCGGGCCGCCCGGCGCGCGTACGCATCGGGTGTGCGCAAAGGGGTGTGCGTTCCCGTCCCGTGGCTGCGAGCGCGGCGCGGGGACGGGGCGCAGCGCGGGGAGGCTGCCGCGGCCGTGCAGAGCCGCGTGGGCGCCCACGCGTGAGTACGAGCGCGCACGGGAGAGGAAGGCAAGAGGAGCCGGGTGGGACCCTCTTGAACCTTGGAGCGCTGCCCGCTGCACACCCACCCTCGGGCCGCGACCGCGGTCCCGGACACCGCCGCGGTGACCGAGAGTAACCCCTGCGCCGCGGCCCCCGGCCCCGGCCGG